TTCACCCCCGTGCACTGCAGCCCGCCAGGCTTCTCTGTCCATGGCATTTCCCAGGCAAGGATGCTGGAGTGGGTTGCCGTTTCCTCTCCAGGGGATCTACCCGCCCCAGGGATGGAGCCTGCGTCTCTTGTGTCTCCTGCACTGGCAGGCGGATTCTTGACCCCTGGTCACCTGGGAAGCCCTTAGGACCTGCATTCCCTTGTTATTAGCTGATGGTACTTAAGTGACATAAGTACTGTTCCTGTCTCAGATCTGGACGTGAAGGCTCAGCGTCGTCAGGAACAGCCCTCTCTCTGGTCTCTGCCCACCGACCAGCGGCCCTGACCGCTCCTTACCCTCCAGGTCTCACTTCTTCCTCTGGCAAGTGGGATGTGGTGGGGCCCATCACAGTGGACATGAAGTGAGGTAGTACCCTTTTTTTTTTAATGGACTTCCTTTTTTAGGACAGCTTTAGATTTACAGGAAATGAGCAGATAGTACAGCAAGTTCACATATAAGCCCTGGCCCCAGTTCCCCCTTATTAGTACACCTCATATTAGTATCATATGTGTGTTACAATGAATGCACCAATATGCATACATTATTGTGAAGTAAAGTCCATAGTTCATTCAGAGGTCCTTAAGTTTTTTTCAGCTTTTAAAATTTTTTTAGGTAACAGCTTTGTCAACATATCGTTCACACAATATTTCATTCACCCATACAAAGTGCACAATTCAGTAGATTTTAGTAAATTTACCAAGTTACCTGATCATCACCACAGTCAACTTTAGAACTTGCATCACCCTGCAAAGAAGCCCTTAGCCATTAAGTCCTAACCGATCTCCTTTCTGTATCAGTAGATTCTCATATTTTGGGTATCTCATGTAAATGTAACTGTGGTCTCTTGGGTTTTTTGGTTTGTTTGTTTGGTTGGTTGTGTCTTAACTTTTTGTTTTATGTTGGAGGATAGATAGCCAGTTGACAACGTTGTGATGGTTTCAGGAGCACAGCGGAGTGGCTCAGCCGTACGTACCATCCTCCTCCCCCACACTCCCCTGCCATCCCGGCTGCCACTTACTGACAGAGTCCCCTGTGCTTGTTGGTCTTCCGTTGTCAAGGTGGCAGCATGTACGGATGTCCTTAATTTGTAGATACTGCCCTTCTTCTATCCCAGGATCCCGTCTACGATCCCACATCATGTTTAGTTGTCATGTCCCTTGAGGTTCCTGAGCTGTGAGTGTCTTGGGTCTTCCTTGTTTTCAGTGACCTGGACAGTTTGGAGGAGTGCTGGTATCTTGTGGGATGCGCTTCTGCCGGGATTTGTCTAGTGCTTTTCTTAGTGGGCTGTGTGTCTTGGGGAGGAAGAGCCCAGAGGTCAAGTGCCCTTTCCATCACCATCGAAAGCACGGACATGTCCCATCAGCATGATCTGTCGCCGTGACGTTCACCTTGACCACCGGGCTCAAGCGGTGTTTGTCAGCTTTCTCCCCACCTCCCTTTCGTGTCGTTACTCCCCTTGGAGAGGAGTCACTGCACAGCACGTGTTTAGTCTGTGGGCATTTATATACGCAGTAATACACTTTTTTAACACCTTTGACAAAGGACCCAGCACACAGGAAGCACCCTAGTGTTAACTGTGATTACAAAACATTTTTCTAATGTTTTTATTATCATTATCATCTGTAAGGAGTTTCTCAGGTGGTAAAGAACCCGCCTGCCAATGCAGGAGACATAAGAGACGCAGGTTCGGTCCCTGAGCTGGGAAGATTTTCTGGAGGAGGGCATGGCAACCCACTCCAGTATCCTTGCCTGGAGAATCCCATGGACAGAGGAGCCTGGCGGGCTTCAGTCCATGGGGTCGCAAAGAGTCGGACATGACTGAAGCGACTTACCACGCACACATCATCTGTAAGGATTAAGTGCTTAGGACGATTAAGGAGATGAGATCTGTAACCGGCTTAGGACTGGCCTTGGTACAGTTTAGGGATTAAGAGAGATAAAACATTTAAGGTGCTGGCACAGGGCCTGGTAACTATAAGTGCTCAATAAACATCAAGTAAAAATAAATAAGCAAATGGGTGGGTAGATGGATAGGTAGGTAGATAGCTGACGTCTTTACCCAAAGAAGATGAGGGTATATGTCCTCACACAGGCTTGTGAATGGAAGTTCACAGGAGCCGAGTCATTCCAGCCCCAACCTGGAAACAGCCTCGTTGTACACCAGCAAAATGGATAAATGCACTGTGGTACATTCAGGTGTTCTAATACTATTTGGCAATGAAAAGGATAAACTCCTGAGACAACCACGTGGATGCCTCTAGAAGCATTATGCTAGTGAAGGAAGCTAGACCCAAGAAAGCACATCCCATAAGGATCCATCTATGTGAAGTTTCAGAATTGGCAAAACCGATGTATAATTATGGGAAGCAGATTGGTGGCTGCATGGAACAAGGGTGAGGAGGGAAGCTGGGCGCCATGAGGGAGCCTGCTGGAGGGCTGTGTTCTCCTGAGGCAGCGTTAGTTCAGGCTGACGGGATGGGGGCACCTCCACTGACCCTTCGCTGGCAAAGTGAAGATGCTGAGGCCCAGAGCAGGCAAAGAGTTTGCCAAGGGTCATACAGCAGTGCCTCCAACTCTTGGTCTAGTTCCCCCTTAGCTTGGCCACAGTGCCGCTATTCCCTCGTGTAGACACAAGGCAGTGTGTACACAGCGTCCTGTAGTATGCAGTAGGAGCTCTATCAATGCCCCTGGACCTACTGAGGCACAGTTTAAGGGCATGAAAGGGCGCTGGTTTTGGAGACTGGTAGACTAACCTCTTCTCAAACCAGGTCTGCCACTCAGGAAGGTGGTTCAACCTCCCTGAGCCCCTTTGCTCATCCGAGAAGTGGAGAAAATAAACGAGGCTGTGCCCTCAGATGGTGAGCAGTGCTGTAAAAGAAAGCAAGGAGACGTGACCGAGAGCACCTGCCTAGGAGGCCGGCTTTAGCCGGGGGCTCCGTGATGTTTACTCTGAGCTAGAAGACGGAGGAGGAGCCAGCCTGACTTCAGGGGTCTCAGGGAGGGGGTGGGGTGCCGGATAGAGGAGCAGCAAGCGCAAAAGCCCTGGGTTCCCAGCCTTCACCAGCCCCTTCCCCAGCCCAGCCGGCCCCCCCCTGCACCGCCCGTGAGGAGCACAGCTGCCCAGGCCTGTGAACCGGCCTTTGAGCCCTGGCATGGCTTCCCCCTCCCCAGCGCGGCCCCCAGGCAATGTCACCCTTTCCTCACCCTGTCCTTCCTTTCTTTAATTTATCTTCTGCTGTGCTGGGTCCTCACTGTTGTGCGCGGGCTTTCTCTAGTTACGGCGAGCGGGAGCTACTCTCTGCTTGTGGCGCCCAGGCTTCGTTGCCCTGCCATATGTGGGATCTTCCCAGACCAGGGACCGAACCCGTGTCCCCTGCACTGGCAGGCAGATTCCTCTCCACTGTACCACCTGGGAAATCCCCCTGCCCTTTATCTCTCTGTCCCAATTACATGAGCCCAGCCAATGTCCGATGCATCTCTGGCTCTAGCGCTGGGCACACAATAGGTCCCTGCAGAATGCCGCCTTTATGGGCTAAATGACTGAACAACAGCAAAGATAACAATAGTATTGAGGGCTCCCTCTGCACTACAGACTGTACTTTGCGCTTCCAATCGACTCATTCAACGGATGTTTACCGACCTATATTGTGTGCTGAGAAGTGGGATGCAGCCATAAACAAAAAACGAAAATTCCTGACTTTGTGGAGCTGACATTTTTATAGGGGAAGACAGTAAACAGAAGTGAAGTCCAAGGTGATAGGTGCTTGGAGAAGAAGAGAGGCAGGAAATGCTGGGAGTTGGGGGTGGTTTCGGTTTTAGATCAGGTGTCCTCGGGGGACCTTTGAGGCAAAGATCTGAAGGAAGTGGGGGAGTGAGCTGTGTTACATTTTGGGAAAGAACGTTCCAGCAGGGTGAAGAGCAAGTGCAGAGACCCAGAGGCTTGTAAGGGGGTGTAAGGGAAGGGGAATATGCCAGTAGGGCTGAGACGCAGGTGCTGGGGAGCAGGATGGGGTGGTGCTGGGGTGTCACCTCGGGCAGCGGGCTGGCCACTCTGCCTTGGTTTCCCCATGTGGACAGTGTCGTGGTACATCCTACCGAGTTATATTTGGACCCCAAGGTAGCTTAAGAGCCCAGCTCTGCCACTTGCCATGTGTGCGACCTTAGTCTAGTTAGTTCTATCCTCCAAGCGTCAGTTTCCACCTCTATAAAGTAAAAATAAAGATGGTACCCACTTGTAATATATGGTGAGAATTCGTGAAGAGCGAGCATGTCTGGCACTGAGAAAAAGTATTCAGTAAACAATAGCTGCTGTGTTCTTTTTTAATCCTCCTGATTCTCATCCGTCTGGAGGAAACTGGGGCGCAGAGAGGTTAAGGAACACGCCCAGTGTCACACAGCCGGCGAGTGACAGCTGGCTTGTGAGTCCAGGCGTAACAGTGCTTACCCTCTGGATATACTGAACCCTCACGTGAGCAAGTGGGTTGGGGGGTACTCTGAGTGATCTTTGTTCTGAAAAGGCTGCTGGGGGCCAAATGATCACATTGACAATTGGTAAAAGCTGGGTTGCGGGGGTGTGGCTTCTGTCTGGACCTCGGTTCCTTCTGGGCACCAAACCCTGGAATGACCTTGCCGTCTACCACCAGTAGCACTGGAGAAGAGTGGGGCGACTGTGGGTCCTGGAGAAGGGGCCAGCAGGCTCCTAACGGGAAAGGCCGGGCAAGCTGAGCCCAGTATACTCTTCCAGACTCACCTGGCCGGTGAGGCCCCGCCTCTCCCTGGGGACGATCAAGTGAAGGGGCACAGACTGTGGCTCCATTCACAGGGAGCAAAGTGTCCCAAGGAGAGAAGGGAGCACCCTAACGTGAATGAGTGAGCGAGTGACTTCCTGAGTTGGGGTGGGGAGCGGGCAGGAACGTGCGCTCGTCCCCCCCACCTCCGGCTCACCCTCCTCTTGTCCACAGTGGCAGGGGCTCTGCTTGCTGACTTCCTGTCCGGCCTGGTGCACTGGGGAGCCGACACCTGGGGCTCCGTGGAGCTGCCGATCGTGGGGAAGGTGCGTATGTTGGCCCAGCCCTGAAGCCCAGCCTGTCTCCTCCAGGAGGAGGTGGGACTGTCTGACCTGGGCTAAGTCCCCTTTCCTCTCTGAGCCCATTTCCCTACCTGTAAGATGGGAACCGTGGTTCCAGTCTGACCCCGCCTCCCCCGCCTTCAAGACCAGAACAGGAATCCCCTGGGATTTCCTGGACGCCAAAGCATCAGGCCTGGGACAGAGAGCTTTGATACATGTCCACCTCACTGGACCCCCTTGAACTTGGGGACCACACCCCATCTAGTTCTCCTCTGCCTGCCCTGCTGCACCTCACTGTTCCTTTTCATTGAACTTTATCTGGTGTCAGATGTTTTGATTGCGATAGAAAATCTGGTACACACTTAACCACAGAAAGGTACTGATCTGTGTACTAAAAATTTCAGAAGCCAAGTTAGGGCGTGGTTGTGTCCAGTAGGACGAACAGACCGTATTCTCTGGACCCCATCCCTCTCCATGTCTGTCTCTGCTTTGCCCTCCGCTGGCTGCACTCGCACGCGGGCTCTCCCCTGGGAAGGTGGCGGGGATGGCCGTCCACTGCCTCGACGTCCGTCCTCCCAGCTCAGCGCTCCCCGGAGGCCGCCCCCTTTCCCATAGTTAGGACCGGAGTCCCACAGCTCATCCCCATTGGCTTCGCTTGGATCACGTGGCTGTCACACAGCCAGTCACTGTGGCCAGAGGAATGGGGCGCTCTGATTGGCTGGGCCGGGGTCCGAGGAGGCAGCCTGATTGGAGCAGCTGGGACTAAGAGAAGAAGCGGAGGCTCTTACCAGAAGGCGGGGTTGGATACTGGAAAACGAAAAAGGGTCCAGCCTGTCAGTGAAAGGGGCCTCCTCAATTGCCTCAGGGTAGGAGAAGAGGGTGGAGGTTGTCGCCAACCCCCTGTCCATAGCCCAGGTCCGGAGACTGAGGCCCACGGAGGGGCAGTACCAGCTGGAGGTCCCCACCAGGTCATTTCCATCCATCTTCTGCTAAAGCTGCTAGGCCCAGAGCCTGAAGGCTGGGGGAACCCACAGCAGTGCCGTGCTGGGCCGGCATGCCAGAGACGAGGTGCTCCCGCGCGGGGGGTGTGTGCAGGAGGTCAGGGAAAGGGGCTGACTGGGCGGCTCTGTGCCCTCTCCCATCCCCCCACCTCACCCAGGCTTTCATCCGGCCGTTCCGGGAGCATCACATCGACCCAACAGCCATCACCCGGCACGACTTCATCGAGACCAACGGGGACAACTGCCTGCTGATGCTGCTGCCACTGTTAAACATGGCCTACAAGTTCCACACCCAGAGCCCAGGTAAGCATGCCCGCTGGGGCAGGGGAACCTCCAGGGAGCCCTCGGGGACAAGAAGATGCGCACCCCTCCCACGAGCCTCCCGTAGCTCGTGTGGCTGTTTGGCCTCTCAGTGTTATAAAAGTTTAGTTAGTTGCCCTCATGTAAAGTTGGGATATTTGACATATAGATCTGTGTTTCCAGCTTCTCTGGAACAATCCGACCTGGGTCCTGGCTCCCACTTGGCTGCACTGGGCCGGAGCAGAGCTGTGGGGTCCCCCTTACACAAGATGCACACTCTCCAGTTTGCTGCAGTCCCCACTGCTCCCTGCAGTCGTAACCTTCCCCCCCACCTCCACCTTGTTCATTTGAATTCACCTGCCTGGCCCTGGGGGCTTCTGATCTTGCTGCCTGGGCTTAGTGGAAAGAGTATACATAGCCTGCAAACTCAATCCTGAGTTCAGAGCTCTGTCCTGCCTGTTTGGGGAAGGAAACTCATCCCAAGGCAAGTCCCATCACCTCTCTGAGCCTCATTGACCTTATTGCAGGAGAAGGTAGGGGAAGAGCCCTTCCTCTGAGCCAGGTCTTGTTCTAACAACTTGACACCTTGTTGGTCTTCAGAGCAGCCCCCCATGGGGAGATGGGCCGAGTGTTTATGGTTCCCACCCACATCCTCTCCCCTCTGCTCTTCGTGGTGGTGGCGGCCATGAGCTCCCTTCTGAGAACTGCCAGCACAGGTCCCGCCCCTCCCCTTGGGATAAGCCTGAAGTCAGTGACCCAAAGAGCCTGCAAAAGACCAACCCCCTGCCTCTGAGTGGGACCAACTCTGTGGAGTCATCAGCATTTCAGAATCCACCCTCCACCCCCCAGAACCAGGCTGAGACAAGACCCACCCCCCCACCCCATCCCATCTTTGCTTAACTCTTCCCCTGCCCTGTCCTGCTTTCCTCACTCCTTTGGGTGTTTTTCAGAAGATTCCCCTCCCTAGTCAGATAAATCACATGCACATGGGTCCTTGTCTCAGCAAGGCTCTGCTTCTAGGGAATGCAGACCAAGATTTATTCCCATTTCATTGATGAGGAAGTTGAGATGCAAAGAGGTAGAGTCGCTGACTCAAGTTCACACAGTCAAGAAATGTCAGAGCAGGGACCTGCATCCAGCCCTGCCTCACTCCAAAGCCCGTATTCTCAACCATTACTTCTTATTCCCATTCTGCCCACTGAGCAGAAGGGAAGACTGAGGCCAGAGGAGAGTCTGAGCCTGCCAGAGGCTGTGTGGGACATTAGGAGGAGGCCAGGGTGCCTGCTGTCCCGGGAAGTTTGCTGCCCAGGGGCAACGGATGAGGGCCAGGCTGGCAGTGGGCCCCCGCCCTGTGTGACAGCTGTTTGGGGCCTGTGGACACCCACACTCTCCCCACCTTGCAGAAGTCCTGGAGCAGCTGTACGCCTGGGAGTGCTTCGTCTTCTGCCTGATCATCTTTAGCACCTTCACCAACCAGATCCACAAGTGGTCACACACGTACTTCGGGCTGCCGCGCTGGGTCATCTTCCTGCAGGACTGGCACGTCATCCTGCCCCGCAAACACCATCGCATCCATCACGTCTCCCCCCATGAGACCTACTTCTGCATCACCACAGGTGCGTTCACAGGGCAGCAGGGGACAGGTTGGCCCCCCACTCCGACCGCCACTCCATCCTTAGGGTCGGGGCAGAGGTCACGGGGGAGGAGGCACAGTCCTGGAGGAACTTTCTCTCAGAACACACATTTCTTGGGCACCTACTATGTGCCACGCAGTCTTCTAGGTGCCAGGGACACAGCCATAAATAAAACGGACATACACACATCCTCTTGATAGAGTTGTGATTCCAGCCACCCATCGTCTAGCAAATATTTATTGAGCACCTGCTATGTGAACAAAACACAAAAATCCCTACCTTTATGGCATTCTAAGAGCGGACATCCCAGGCAATGAGTACTACATCTGACAGTCCTAACTGCCAAGGAAGACAATAACACAGAAGGGGGTAGCAGACAGAAATAGGGAGCTCTGCCCCTATAAATGAGGTGGTCAGGGAAGGCCTCCTGGAGAAGGTGGCATTTGAACTAAGGGAGAGAGTCATGAGACCTGGAGGAAGAGCTCTCCAGGCACAAGGAGCAATAGGTGAAGGAGGCAGGAAAACAGTCGCCTGGTTTGTTTCAGGAGCAGCGAGGAGGCTGGTGTGCAGTGGGGGCCAGAAGGAAAGGAAAGCTGGCACAGTCCAGGTTTGAGAGACGCCGTGGGGACAGACAAAGCAGGGTGAAGAGCAGAGAGTTGGGGGGAGCGGGGTGTGGCTGTTCATAAAGGAGATCAGAAAACAGTGAGGGCCCTGTGGATAAATAAGGACAGATCAGCCCAAGCAGAGGGCACAGCAAGTGCAAAGGCCCTGAGGCCAGAACACACGCCCGGGAGCAGTCAGGAGGCCCACATGCCGTGTGCAGTCAGGGAGCCAGTGCCAAGGAGGTGAGGCAAGCAGGTGTTCGGGGGCCCGTGGGTATCTTTTTAAGGTTAAGTACACCACGGTGCTCTTAAGTCAGGCCAACGTGGGTAACCTTCAGCTCCTCCATATGCAACTTTCAGAGGCTCACAGCCTCCCTGGTTATCAGTTTTCTCATTCACAAGATGGGGCTCCAGCCACTCCTTCATGCACCACCTCCTGGGCTGCGGTGTGAATGGTCAGACGGCAGATGCAAAGTGCCTGTCACATAGCGGGTACTCAGTAAGCTACGCCGACGGGTGTGGGAGCAGGGGTTCGGTTTTGCTTTGGTTTAGTTTGGTCAGGTATTTTGTAGGGGTTTTTGTTTTTGCTTTTCTGAAAGCAGAACTGAGAGCCACAGAAAATATTTTTTTGTACATCCTAAAGTCATGCTTTTTAGGAGCAGGTGGAGGGGTAAAATTTAGGCTATTCAGGAGATCACTTAATTGTTCAGCCAGGGCTGGGATCAGTCTTGGTTTGGCCAGGTACTAACTGGGAGACTGCCCTCCAAGACAGTCTTCTCATGTGGAAAATGGGACTCGTAACAATACCTAGTTCAAGCTTCAGGCAGGAAACTGTGATGCAGATTAAATAAGATTATGAGACTTATTTAATGGAAATAAGACTATTTACTTAGCACGTACCATGCCAGGCATCATCCTAGGCCCTGGGATCCAACAGGATCAATGGTGAAAGAACATGGGGTTCTAGGTTGGGAGCTGGAGATCAAAACCAACGCTACATAAGGAAGTGACAAATTAATGAGGATGGTTACAGGTAAAGAAATAAGGATGGGTGAAGGCCTGGAGGGCTGCTAAGTGGTAGTCAGGGAAGGCTTCCTGGAAGAGGTGGCAATTAGAGCCAAGTGATAGGAAGCACTGCCTCTGTGCCTGCCATATAGTAAGCACTCAATAAGAAGGTGAGTGAAGCATTGAAGGTGTGTCTGAGCAGCCGCTCAGCCCACTGATGGGAAGCCCCCATCCCCAGATTCCTTGGTCAGCCCTTTTCCCCTGCGCTCTGCAGACCAGCTCCTCCGCTGCCCAAGGCAGGGCCAGCTGTCTCTCTCTGTGCTCTTTCTGTTGCTCTCCCATTCGACCCCTCCTCACTCCTCCCTGCCCTGTCCCTGCTGCAGGCTGGCTCAACTACCCTCTGGAGAAGATGGGCTTCTGGCGACGCCTGGAGGACATTATCCAGGCCCTCACAGGCGAGAAGCCTCGGGCAGACGACATGAAGTGGGCGCAGAAGATCAAATAACTCCTCCAGGCCACCACCTCATTGCCAGCCTTCCCCGGCTCCCCCAAACTGAAGCCATCTGCCAAACTCCAGCCTCCTTGTGCTGGCCACTCCAGGTGGAGAGGACACCTCCTGGGCTGGGCCGGGCACCTCCAGCCCACCCACCCCACCTTGTGACACAATACTTGAGCCACTGATTTTTTTCATTTCCTTCTTTTCGTTTTTCCCCCTTGGCCCCTCCCTAGGCACCTGAGCTGCTGTCTGCCAAGCCTGACTGCAGAAACAGAAAAAGAGCCCAGCCCTTTCAGCCATCCCCTGGGCTGAGGACAAGCTCACCGCCCCCCACACTCCCACCACCCCCTGCCCCACTGGGAGCCCTTCAGCGTGGCTGATACCGGGACACTGAGTCATCGAACCTGTTCCTGTCTGTCTGCCCGCAGCGCTCTAGGAGCCCCGGGCACAGCTGAGTGTCCCTGGACCGTCACCCCGCTGTGGCCCTGCAGACTGGACTCCGGAGGCCTGGGTGGACAGACAGCCCCAGTCACCACCTTCAGCCTAGCTTGTCCGCCCAAGGGCGGCAGAGTGCAGCAGGGGTCTGGGGGCAGCCGGCCAGACGAAGCCAGAATTTCCTGATCGAGTCTGGATTCCATTGTCCCCGACCTTTCCCCCATCTGCCTGTGTGATTCCAGCCAGAGCTGACGTTTCTAATCGGAGGATGTCTTTGAAGGGCACAGCCCCTGCAAAGGGTCTTGGTCATTGGAAGGGACACGGTGTCCCTTCTGACTTGAGGGTATGTCAGAGAAGGAAGAGTGGGGCTTTTTTGTTTCGGTTATTTTTTTTTTTTAACGGTGCTTGCTTGTTTAATGTAAATAATAGAAGGCCTTAATATCTTTTCTGTAACACGGAGTAATATTTTAATGTCATGTTTTGGATGTACATAATATATTTATAACAAAGCAGCAAGAGTCTACTTAACCTGGGCTGCCTCCTGGTTCCTGATCGGCTCGGGGAGGGGAAGTAAGGAAGCTGGAGGGTGAGGCCCCACCCACCCCTGTTCTCAGCTTCCCCCGCAGCCCTCTGCTAAGGATGGAGGCTTTGTCCCCCGAGACAGTGAATCAGTGTTGACATCTGCTCCAGACCCTTCTGGAAGGGGGACCCGTGATTCTGTGAGGAATTTTCATGTAGGAGATCATGGTGATAGAGACATGGAGGCAGAGCCCTACTGAGGAATTCCTTCTACAAAGGTTTACTGGCATCTGGTATGTGCCAGGCTCTGGCCTGGACACCAGGCATGGAAATGAACCAACAAACAAGGACCTCCCCTGGAGGAGTTGACTTCCTGGGGAGAAACAATAAACATAAATAAATGCACACGGACATTCGGGTGGTGATTTGTAAAGAAAATGAAACGCTTGGGATGACATTGGAAAAGGGTGGGGCTGCTCTGGCAGGTCAAGGAGGGCCTCTCTGAGCAGGTGACTTTTGAGCTGAGACCTGGAGGAGGAGATGGAGCCAGTTGGGGAAAGAACTGTGGGAAAAGCCCTGGCCGGACAGTAGTGCAAAGGCCCTGAAGCAGGAACATGCCTGGGGTTTTTTAAAGAATGTGGCTGGACTGGAGTGAGCAAGGGGACAGTGGAAGATGAGATTTGAAAAATAGGGGCCAACTATATGGATAGCCAAATGGAGAGATGACATTTTAAACAAGTATCTTGTTCATTTATTCATTGAACAAATACAAGGTGACTCCTATATGCCAGGTGCTGGGATTCAGCAGTGAACAGACAGGCATTTACAATTAATCTAGTCTGGGCTGCTGCTGCTAAGTCACTTCAGTCGTGTCCAACTCTGCGCGACCCCATAGACAGCAGCCCACCAGGCTCCCCCGTCCCTGGGATTCTCCAGGCAAGAACACTGGAGTGGGTTGCCATTGCCTTCTCCAGTGCATGAAAGTGAAAAGTGAAAGTGAAGTCGCTCAGTCGTGTCCGACTCTTAGCGACCCCCTGGACTGCAGCCTACCAGGCTCCTCCGTCCATGGGATTTTCCAGGCTAGAGTACTGGAGTGCGGTGCCATTGCCTTCTCCAATCTGGGCTAGATAGTTTCTATAATAACGAGTAAAAACAAAAACCTTTTGGGGACAGAGAATGACAAAAGACTCGAGAGCAGTCACAGATAAAGTTTTTTTAATGTGACCCATAACTTTATTTTCCTTAAACTTTGCCCAACACTAGACTTTTGAAAAAAGTTTTATTTTGAGATAACTAGATTCTCATGTAGTTCTAGGAAAACCACCAGTAGACTTTTGATTTCAGACTATCTGAGGGGACCACAAAAGGAAGGGGTATTAGAATTTATCAGCTCTAAATGACAGAAACTATAACTGATGCAAAAATTAGTAGTGAAAATAATTCTATTAACACATGTAACTGAAAAGTTTTAGAGGTGTTTCTGACAAGGTTTGGTGGGACCCCAGGGTACACATGATTCATTAGACCTTGGTGTCTAGCTCTATTGTCTGTCAAGCAAGTTGAGGTTGACATTGGAACAGCTCCATATCTCAGTAGAAAATGTTTTCCTTCTCAGCAGATGCAGCCAAAGTCCCAGGGCAGGCTCTTACTGGCCTGGATTGGGTCACGTGCCTACTCCTGAACCAACCATGTTAGGGTGGGATGGTAAAGTGTTCTGACTGGCCAGGGCTGAAATATCCACCTGGAGTTGCAGAAGTGAGATCAACATTTCCCAACCACAGGATGAGAGGAGGAAAGAATGGTTGCTGAAAGAAAAATTAAGGTGTTAACCAGAAGAAGTCTGGGTGGGGCAGAGAGCCAAAATCAGGGCCAGATAAGCAGCCTTGGGGCTACAGGGCTTGCTTTCCTATTCCCTGCACTAATCACTGCAGATGGTGCAGTGCAGGCAATGCAGATTGTCCCTGCATCTAATCACTGCAGATGGTGACTGCAGCCATGAAATTAAAAGACGCTTACTCCTTGGAAGGAAGGCGATGACCAACCTAGACAGCATATTAAAAAGCAGAGACATTACTTCGTCAACAAAGGTCCGCCTAGTCAAGGCTATGGTTTTTTCAGTGGTCATGTATGGATGTGAGAGTTGGACTATAAAGAAAGCTGAGCACCGAAGAATTGATGCTTTTGAACTGTGGTGTTGGAAAAGACTCTTGAGAATCCCTTGGACTGCAAGGAGATCCAACCAGTCCATCCTAAAGGAGATCAGTCCTAGGTGTTCATTGGAAGGACTGATGCTGAAACTGAAACTCCAATCCTTTGGCCACCTGATGCGAAGAGCTGACTCATTGGAAAAGACCCTGATGCTGGGAAAGATTGAAGGCAGGAGGAGAAGGGGACGACAGAGGATGAGATGGTTGGATGGCATCACCGACTCAATGGACTTGAGTTTGGGTAAATGGGAGCTGGTGATGGACAGGGAGGCCTGCGGTTCATGGGGTCGCAAAGAGTTGGACACGACTGAGCGACTGAACTGAACTGATTCCTATTCCCGGGCCCTTCGGGCAGTATATTTCTAGAACCTACCAGAAGCCAGCAAGAACAAACACCCGAGTTCAGAGAGTGAAGTGGCTTGCCCAAGACCACACAGCTAGTAAGACACAGCCAGGCCCCAGACTCAGATGGTCTCGCTGCTCCTGAACCCCGAGGACTAGAAACGCATTTTTCTAAACCAGAGTCAGGTATGTTTTGTGTTAGGTCTGGGAAAGTTGGTGTCGTCTGCGAGATGGGAGTATTCCAACAAGTTCCTACTGAGAAACAGGAGGCAGGAAATGCTGAGTAACACCCACCACACACTTAGCACCGGCCAGAGACGGAGAGCCCCGAGCAGGAGCCCCTTCGGGCAGTCCCTGCAGCCCTGAGAGGTCAGTACACTGAGCCCCATTTTTTGCAGATGAGGAAACAGGCACAGAGTCCGGTAACATACCAGACGTCACACAGCTGGTCGGTGGGGCTGGGAGCTGAGCTCCGGCAGGCTTCACCTGCAGCCCTAGAGGAGGGAGGGAGGTGGGAAGGCAGGTTTTCCAGCGTGTCCCCCATGAGAAAGCAGCAACGTCGCAGGATGAGAAACGGCCGCTGACACCAAGGAGTGGGGCTCCCCGGAGACATGAGACCCCCAGAGGGCAATGACCACTCACATCCGTTGATAAAAGAAGAGCCAGAAAATCCAGATGCTTTAAAACCCTGGCTCCGTTCTTTAATCATACCCCCGGCAAGATAAAACAGGTGTCTAGTCAACGTGTGCCCACAGCTTCCCAGCTGGAGGGTGCTCCGTCGCTCAGTCGTGTCCGACTCTTGGTGACCCCCGTGGACTGTAGCCCGCCAGACTTCTCTGTCCATGGCATTTTGCCGGCAGGAATGCTGGAGCGGGTGTCATCTCCTCCTGGCTGGAGCAGGGACCGCCTGACTTTAGGTGGGTGTGTGCTGCCATCTGGTGGTGGACTGGGGGAGGTGGCAGCGCCCGCAGATGAGTTCCCAGCTCCGCTGGGAAATGTCCTGCATTCCCCTCTGCTGACTTGTCTTTAGAGGGGTTCTGGGCACCGTGACTGCCCCCAGCATTAACCTCACCCCCTTTTGATATATCTAAAAATTTCAAGCTACCCTTTTAAGCATAATTTTGTAACAGGTAATGCATGCATAAGGTAAAGTGGACTTTGCTGATGGTCCAGTGGTTAAGACTCCACACTACCAATTCAGGGGGCCTGGGTTCAGTCCCTGGCCAGGGAACTAGATCCCACATGCCAGCAACTAAAAGATACTGTATGCTGCAACGGAGATTCCACGTGCCTCAACTAAGACCTGGCACGCATGCCCAGTCCTGTCCAGCTCTTTGCGATCCCATGGACTGTAGCCCGCCAGGCTCCTCTCTCCATGGAATTTCCCAGGCAAGAGTACTGGAGTGGGTTGCCATTTCCTTCTCCACTAAGACCCAGCATGGCCAAATAAATAAATACAGATAAGTACTTTTATAATACAGGGGTCAGCTGACTGTGGCCAGTAGG